AAGATTCCCAATAATTTGAATTTGTGCTCGCAGCATATGGGCGATTCCATTTCTTGATAATATAAATCAAAATCACTCAATTCCTTTGCTAAACTGCATATGATGCATTAGATTATTATCAAAGGAGAAGGAAGAAATTGTTACGTGTTGACACATTTGGTCGATTCACTGGGGCCCATGGCCCACTCATGTCGAACTACGTGGCATCCTAGTCGAGGCTCCCAGACCAACAGAAGTCAACCAGCATACAGAAACAACACCCATGACGTGGTCCAAATGCTAGCGTCAAAGTGAATAGGTTGAGGTGGTTTGTCCTGCCGAGGTCCATTATACTGAGGCTCATACGCCTTAAGCAGCACTCCTCCTACGAGATCCGATCTTATACAAGGATCATTCCTGATTAATTGATGGGACAACCATCATAGAGTGCAAACATCTTGTCTTGTCAAAGCAGCGACGACTCAGCCGATTAATAAATGTGTAGCAGACTAGGAAGTTAAGTATAATGTCTATAATTTGACATGTAAACTTACGAGATGAGGCTACGTGTACTCCCAACCGAGACCATGATCTAACTTGTAATACTATAAATACTCCCCCATACATCTCTCAAAAAAATAATGCAAGATTCAATACAAGAACCAAGATTACACATGTTTACTCTCTTAACACACATTATTCAACAGTCTCTTTACTCTCTTGCAAGATACACGAATTCATACAGGCATTTTATGAACATTGATTAGTAATTATTGTACAATCGTTATGCAAACATCTCGTCGAATTTCAAACATTCTCGTCCCGCACTTTTGAGCTGTTCTCACGCCCTTGATCTGTCCATTTGAGACCGTCCACGTATCTTAGCATGTTGGATTAGACTTACGTGTGCGCGGGTGAGTTTGGCATCTATTGACAACATTTTTTTGGGGTCAACAGAAATCTTATGATATAACTACATTAATTAAAAGTTTAAGCGGTCGAAAGGTAAGATAAATATTTATTCGTATATTTAATTTTGTACATGCCTCTTGACATGTAGATCATATACGTTTTTCTATTAAAAACTTTACACAAATTTTTTTGGTCAATGATTATCATCTTGAATACCTTATTTAAAAGTTTAAAATCAAGCCGTACATTACTTAAAATAATGAACATTGTTTGTAAAGAGGTTGGTTGGCCTTAAAAAAAAAAAAAAATTTCAGATTTGCTAAGCTGAGATTTCATTGTCGATGTTGCATAAAATAATTGTGTGAGTGCATGTTTGTTGAGAAATATAGTTTATCTATGGGAGATGAAATATAAGTCAACATTAGAATCCAAATTTGTAAAATGAACATGGGCTTAATGCTAAAATAAAACTATAAAAGAAATTAGTTGTCTTTCTTTCCCAAAATATACTTGTGAATAAAGAAATGTAATAATCGTACCAAAATCAAGGCAATACTCAAGCTTAATCACGTAGATATACAATTTTGCAAATGTTATTATGCTTGGATCTTTGACTCTTTGCCAGTGTCTAATTTGACTATGTGAGATTAATCATTTTTGATAAAAAGCCAAGAATTTGTTTGTTTTCTTCTCTCATATATGGTCCGATCTTCTTTGGAATCCAAACCTTGTTGAGTTCCATTAAAGATCAAAAATTACCAAAACAATAATTTGAAGATCCTAGTGTGCTAGAGCAGCATGTAAGAGGAGGCTTTATTCATTGATGGAGCAAGTAGATACTGAGCTTAATCGTAAAAAGTCCACATTGAACAATAGTTCGATCCAAAAATTGTTTGAACAATAGAGTTTGAAGATGAAAAGTGTGGTAGTAGTAAAACGGTCATTCCAACTTCGCACTGAAAGTAGTGGGGGCAAGTTGCAAGTCATGTTAGATAAGTGACACCACCTTCTTAATCAAGGACAATGAAAACAATGACCAAACTATAAACTTCCCAAATTTAGGGTTCGATAATAAATTTACACGATTTCCATCAGTAACAATCCTAAAAATGATCATGAGTATGAGAAATACGATACTTGCCCAATGATAACGAGTATGATTATGGCATATGAAATGTAATTTTTAAACTTTTATTGTATTCATTATCTTCGGACTCTTTTTTTTTTTTTTTTTTTTTTTTTTTTTTTTTAATTTATTTATTTTTTTTGGGCTTTTTTTTTTTTTTTTTTTTTTTTTTTGTCATTACTAAAATACATTGAAGATAATTACGTGTTGAAAATGACTCAAAGTAACCGTAGTGCATTATCATAGTGATAAAATATACTGAAAAATCATATGTTTTGAGTTTCTATTAGTAAAGAAGGGAAATGTACTTGCTATAGGTAGCTAGAGTCATCAAATTTGATGTTGACTTTGAACCTTTACTTTAGGGGGTCTACGTAATAAATAGAGCGAGTCATTCAAAAATTATTGGCCAAAGGCACTTTATTGGTTGAATGTGCTAAGATTCCACCATTTTGTCTATCCGATGTGAGCATAAAATCAATCAATTCATTATACCATTCACATTGATATCATAAGGTAGGTTTTCATTTTGAGTTTCTTCATATGTATAGAATTTATTTCACATAAGGTATACAAAAATCTCACATGAATGTGGGTTTCATATAAATAAAAAAGTGTCAAAAAAATCCACTCCACCCCTTGCTATGAGTGGTCTGTGCGGATCTGTGAAATTAGAATCTGTAAGTCCAGCATCTCTCTTTTGTTTTCACTTCTGCGTCTTGTAAAACTGTTTCTCGTAAAATTATTCTAGGTCAATTTTAACTGTTCTTCTAATAAGATAAAGTACGTTTCAAAATTATTCAAACGAATTCAAAAACAGCTTTTTATTTTCAAAAATGGTATTTGACATTTCAAAATGTCTTACCAAATGAGCTCATAAACATGTCTTTATTTCATCGTTATTTTTAAGATACATAAATTTGAAAAATCGTGATTATGATTTAACAGCAAATAATTCATAGGCTGCCCTCTAAAAAGAAAAAAGAAAAAGAAAAGAAAATTGTCTCCATCGAAAGGCTAGGTATCTTGCTATTGAAGGTAGGTTATCTCATTTACTCACTCTGAACTTTGATTTTTCAAGGGCAAATCTTTAGAAATAAATTCTTTTGTCTGCATTAAATCATTCATAATAATGCAGGAATGTACCAATTACCTCGTCAGTGCGGAATTTTGAGGTGCATTTATGTGCAGTAATGTTTAGGAACATTAAAGAGAATAATAGCATTTACATCAGTAAATTTATTTTATTTACTAATTACTATCAAATGTCACATTTGATTTATCTTTTAAAGATTGACGAACACTAATAATTATGTCTTTTTAGACTCGTAGCTCTAACATATTTTATTGGCCCGTATGGACGGTTTGCAAACTTAGGCTACGAGCTCTTTACACACTTTTTCCATGTGAAATTTTGTCTATGCTAGATATTTTTTGGGTCCGAGTAGTAATCACAAACGATCATAAACGAGTGAATTGCCTAAATGGTCATTGAATTTTGTAAAAAAATTTCAAAGGGTCACTGAATTTTAAAAATCACTTAAATAGTCACTGAATTCTACAAAATGTTTCTACGAGATTACTGAACTTTGCAAAAAGGTTTACACGAGATCACTAAACTTTGCAAAAAGTTTCCACGAGGTCACCGAATTCAGTGACCCCTGAAAAACCTTTTGCAAATTTTAGTGACTATTTAGATGATTTTTAAAGTTCAGTGACCTCGTAATAACCTTTTGCAAAGTTCAGTGACCATTTAGATTATTTTTAAAGTTCAATGACCCTTTGGAAACCTTCTACAAAGTTTAGTGATTATTTGAATAATTCACTCGATCATAAACATTATGAGTACGTTTAGCTAAGCACCCAAAAAAAATTAAATTACCTTTTTTACGTAACTTCTTATTTTTAAATATGCTTAAATAACTTACTTTATTATTCTAAGTGAAAAAGAAACTACTTTTAAGGTACAAGTATGTCTACTAAACATTTTATGCTTAATTGTAAATTATTCCTAACAATGGTAATGGGGTGGCAAATAGGGAGCAAAAGCAAGTAAGTGGGAAGGGAACAAAGGCACATGAGATCGAAATGATTAGAGGAATTCACATGGGCTTTGGGAAACTTTAACCCCGTGCCTTTTCGTACAATCATATTTTCTCTAACACGCTCTTGACCAAGACGATGCAAACTCGTCTCTAAACCAAACGCCGCATTATTCTTATTATATTGGTTTTTTAGCATAGGATTATCAGAAAAGATGTCTATGAACTTGTTGCATCCATATTTTTTTAGAATAAGCTCCCGTTTGGTCCTATTTTTTTCGAATTTTAATGGTTAGAATAGTATTTTTTAAAAAAATATGTGATTGAAAAATAATAACAAATTTCTAATTTACGTATAACATTATTTTATGAAAGATTGTGTGATTGAAAATAAGAGAGAAAAAGAACGAGGAGAATGGGGGCAAACGGGGGCTAAATTTCATGAAAAGCTGTAAACTGTGATAAAACCGTACAAAAATTATGAATTCAATTGCAAAATTATTTTATTAAACTAATATGTGATTGAAATTGAATTTTAAAGAATCTCTTCCAATGGGACTAAAAGGCACGATGAGCACTGCAAAAAGAAACTGCACCCACATATCTAAAGCCATTTCCAACTTCCCTTGGATGCTTTTACTGCACAATTAGATGAGATCATAGAGAAGGGGATTTATCATCAACTTTGCACAATTCAGCATATATTCCATGTCTCGCCAGGTTCATGTCCATCTCTACCTAACAACTTTAACTATGCGGGCAATTGACGTCTGAAAGAATAATGCTATTTATCTCTAGTAGATATGAACATGAGACCAGTGCATGATCATGTTTATCTGATGAATAGCATTATTTTTCAAGAAAATCAAAATACATAAGTATTATACTATCATTAAACAGTAACACTAGCATTCAAGAGGATGAGATGTACATTTCAGAAATAACCTAAAGGAAGAGATGAAGAAAAGATCCTCATCTCTGTATTAAAATATTCATAAACAATTCAATATCTGATTGGACAGACATGTTTATATATTCTCTTGACATTGCTGAAAAGAAACCAATACAAACCATAAGACATTCAGACATGAATTTGGTTGCAAAAACTAACTTAACAAAGATTTTCTCTTCTACATTTGCCTATACCCCTAAGCTCCAGAAATCCCATGGGAAAGCTCAACACAATCAAACAACCATGAGAAATACAAAAAAATGGCACACAAATTAAATCTGAAGAACTGAAACACTACCATCAGACCCATGATGTAGCGTTTCCCCTTCTAACTGCCGTGTTCGTCTACATTTAGGCAGGAAAGGTGTTAGTAGAATAGCTAGAAAAAACAGGTTAATGGTTTGGCTAATACTAATACTAAAGCTTCATCACCTTCCTCCACCCCCGAGAGTTCAACTAACAACTTGATCAGTTGCTAGGAAAATCGAGCTCCAACATTTTGTTGGACTCTGTAATAACAGTATAATCATTGAGACTCAGCACGAATCTTTGAATGATTATGCTCTACTATAGTAAAATTAAGATTCCCTAATCATCTGAGTTCCTAATTTGTAATTTCTGTTCTGTTAGTCGATAAGAGACTGCCTACCGCGAATGAACAATTGCCATAAGTTGGTCCTACATGGTTAGACTTCCACCTTCCAGACGACACCATCAATGCTCTTATTGTGAGTTCCTTCCAAAGCTGCAACCTTAGCTCGGGATGCTGCAAGGGCAATTGCAGACTTTCCCCTTTCGTCCTGAGGGAGTTCACATGCTTCACTGATGGACCCCGATCTCAAGTCGGCTGGTGGAATAAAACAGTCCATTGATAGGCCGGGAATGTTGAATGCAACCTCTTCAATTGTCCAAGCTTCTTCCATCCTTGTTTTTGTATGGCTCATTGCTGTCTCTCCAAACCGGAAAAGCGTAGCAATGGAACGACCAGAGTGGGCAATCATGATTCCTTCCACGGGCCTGTAATCATCTAAGTAAGAATTGATGGTCGTCTCCCAGTATACTGCATCGCCTCCATTAGATTGGATGCGGGTGAGATGTGAATCCTCCATGTGAACAAGAAGCCCCGTCTTCTGACTGAAGTAGCCAAACAAGACATGCCTTATGATTTCTGCTGGTCCCTCACTCCTGGCTCCCAATGTTTGTGGGTCGGCAGAAAGCTTCAGAATGAAGCAGTCGTCACCATTGATCTTCTTCTCTCCAATGCATATGGCACTGGCAAACATGTTGGCAGTGGTTCTTGGATCAAGACCCTGCAAAGTAGATTACGCACGTCTACACAATATCAGATGGCCAGAAAAGAAAATTTTGGCAAAAATTGGGCTGTATAAATGATGAGAACAAATCATCACCTGAAGAGCACGGCGCAAAGGCCTAACAGGCCCCTTTGCAGTGTGAGCACCAAGCCAGGGAGTGTGCCTCCAGACGAGTTTGCCATTACAACCAGCATGAACTTTACTACCCCCAACTGCAAGCTCCACGTACCACATGTCAGGATTCATCTGCCAGAGAACAAACCCACCGGGCTCTGCAGCTCTAGCCACATTCCTGTTCTTCACTACCTTTGTTGCAGTTTCAAACTCCGAAGCTACCATCTTCAATTTTCCCATGGCATATGCATTCTTAATCGAATTCTGGATCTTTTGCCCTCCTGATGCAGCTGTATACTGTTGCAATATGTACTGGGCAGAAGAATTTTCCTGCAAAATCACAAACCCACATCAGACAGCAATATTGAGCATTTTTCCAGAGTGACAAGGAGCCCAGCACTGTCTAATAAACAGAAATCAGATAAAACAACCGCATCCAAATTTTCTGTAACCATTACAATTTCTTTGCTTAAAATCTAGCCACCTTGGTTCAGTTTAGCATTAATTCATATATATTCATGTAATTTCATTCAATTGCACAATTTTAGCATAACATACTCTCCCAAGAATAATTCAGAATTTACTTCAACTTTAACAACTCCAGCATGCTTCACAGAAATACACACACACACACACACCTATACAATTTATGTACAGGGATGTGTGTGTGTGTGTGTGGAGATAGAGAGGCGTACAATGGGAGTGTCTTTGATGCTCAGATGAGGCAATGGGTCAGTAGTGCTAACGTGCACAGGGGCGAGAGGGGCACCCATGACCCCAAGCAATAGCCTCAGATCAGACCTCTTGTTGTACCCATTCCCATTGGAACCCGCCGCCCCTCCTGGAAGGGAGGGGGTCCGGGTTAACTGCCCGCGAACCCACTGCCCGAGCCCCGACCCGAGCCGCTTCGAATCCCCGATTTCTCCGCCGTCTGGATCCGGACCCTCCATCAACGGCGTTAGCGTCTCCCCGACTAACCTCAGGCTCCCCGATCTCGCTATCATCGTTTCGACATAATTACCGTTACCACCACTCTTTTTTCTCCGGAGAAGACTCGTTATCGGAGACCCACTCCGACTTGAACTCTTAGCCCGTGACCTCCCCGGCGATAACCCCCTCACCACCTCGTCCTTTAGCACCGAGAAAAAACCTTGCTTTTTCTCCATTTTTTCCCCAACAAGACACTTAAAGCAGTATATAACAGGCCAAAAAAACGTGGTTTCCTTGTATCTATAAATACTCTGCTAAACTTCAGAGAGTGAAATACGAGCAATAAGCGAGAGTCATCAGCATTTTCTATAATCCCACAACAAAAATCTTGATCACAAATGTGATTATGATAGTATCAAGGGACGAAGGTAATGTGGCGTTTTAGAAAGAGAGTTTTGGGCAATAGACAGAGAGTGTTGGTGTGCTAAACAAGGAGATTTTTTCAGTTAGCGAAAAGTTGAGGGCGTGAGCGCAGTGATAAAAAACTTTAGGAAGAGAGTGGCGTTTTTAGAGAGAGAAAATGCTGAGAGAGTGACAGCGTGGGACCGATGGTGGAGAGAGAAAAGAGTGTGTGCTGCTACTTTATTGACGGTGAGGGCTAAATTTTAGGTGCAGTCCTCAATGTCTGGTGAATTGTAGATTCAGTTCTCTACGTTTTTGTAAATTGTAGATTCAGTCCTGAATGTCAAGGAATTGGTCGTATATTATGGGCTTGTTTGTGTCACATTATTCTAAAAAAATGCATTCTTAAATGGTCATTAGACATTATTTCAATCACACATTCTTCAATAAAATAATATTACGCAAATCTAAAATATTTTATTATTTTTTAACCACACATTTCCTATCAGTACACTATTCGAAAATGCATTATTATCAAAATAATGTGGTTCAAACACTCCCTATATCTATTGAGTTGTGCTGCCAACCAGGGGTTATGTGGCATTCTCCTATTGGGAGGTGTTTACGTTTGATGTAGATTCTGCTCGTTCAGCAAAAAATAAAAAAATATGTATATATGATATCAAGGTTGACAAGCTGATTTCCAAAATAATTTGAATGTCCTATCAAATTAATGGTTTTGCAATTAAAACAATTTGTATTAATTTTGATGTGTTTCTCTTTTAACTTCTTCATGCTATTCAAGTAGGAATGTCAATCGAGCTCGTTTGACCATCTGTGGTTCGGCCTAAAAAAAGATCGAGTCAGCTCGACTCGAGGTTTGGAGGCACCCGAGACAACGCTTAGGTCAAGCCCCATTACAGGTAGTCTGCTCGAGCCTGGTAGGCTCGTAAAAAAATTGTTGTCTATTTCGCAGCTATTTTAGTTGCCAAACAACAGCAAACCTATTGCGTGTTAAGGCAGCTAAGAGGAGAGAAAAAAAAATCCAAAAAATCGAGTCCGCTCAAGCCGAAAAGCTCAAGTTGAGCCTTACTTTTTTGGCCGAGTTTTTGCTCGCTTGACTGAAGCCAAAAAAATCTCGCCTTAAAAAAGCTCGAGAGCTAGCTTGGCTCAACTTTGTCGACACCCCTACATTCAACTCATCTAACATGTGGTAAGAGTTTTGCGTAGTTCCTACGTATTGAGATTCACAAGTGATTTCGAGCCACAATCAAAGAATCCTATCAAAATAATAGTTTATAGAAACATATAATGCTAACTTTATTATCGTGTCTGCTACATGAATAGGTTCAATGACAAAATTTTTAATAGGCTGATGTATCATATTTTCATTTGACAAATAAATAAATTAGCCACACAACCTTGTCAAATACCCTTGTTCGAATAGCTTTATTCATTTATTATTTATTCTCTTTTAACTTATTATGTCAAAATCAAGAAACTCTATACCTACTACTTTCTTTCTTTTTTACAAAAATTAAGCCCTTGTATGGTAACCATTCTTTCACAACTCATTTTTTTTTCTTTCACTCTCTTTTAATTACACATTTTTACAATAAAATATTTTTCACGCAGGTCAAAAGCTTTTTAACCATACATTTTTTCAAAATTTTATTATTCACAAATTCATTCTTCCCCAAAAATTGGCTGTCAAACAAGGGCTAAATATGTATGAAGTATAAAACTTAACCATCCAATCCTTCAAATTTTTAATGGAAAAAAAGAAGAAGAAAATAATCAGATGTGAGCAAGGGAAAACAAATAAATTGTCAATCATTCAAATTGTAACAAATCGTGAATTTGAAACCATTGATTTGAATCCATGTCTTTTAGGTTTGATTGTTAAAAATTGCTAAAAATCAAACTAAAATGAATCAAAAAAAAAATAAGGAGGCACCTAAGAATATTCAAGGACCCGCAACCGGGCAGGATAAAACCAATACCATAGAGGTTATGCAGCAATAGGAGAAGAATGGATTTATATGAGTTAAAAGTTTGCTCAAAATGCATTTTCAAATAGTATTTTGACAGAAAATATGTGGTTAAAAAATAATGAAATTTTTTAAATTTATGTGTAATATTATTTTATTAAAGAATGTATGATTGAAAATGAGAGAAAAAAATTATATTTGAAAATAATGGGGACTAAACAAGAGCATAATTATATTGTAGAAAAATGTAATATAGAGGGTGTTTGGTAAGGATTAAAATTAGATTTTTTTAGTAGATTGTGATATAAGATTTTGAAATATATGATTGAACAATTGTAAATCTCATGAAAGATTTGATTAATATTGATTGCTTGATTTTGATTTAGATTAAAATCAGATTAAGAGCCTGTTTGTGAGTAATTTTAAGAATTGATTTTTTGACCGTTGGGAGAAATGTGGGATCCACCTATGAAAGAAGAAGTCAAATATGACGACTGAAATAGTGAAATAACGGTCAAAAAATCAATTTTTTAGGGGAAAAATCACTCCCAAACAGGCTCTAAAATTCTTACCAAACAAGCTGATAAGCAAGCTTGGGGGATAATGGTGATATGATTTGACACAAAATAATAAGGATATGTGTAAATGCGAGACCCCATTTATTAAGGTCCGGTTTGGTACACATTAATGTAAAAATGAGAATGAAAACTGGTCCTACGCAAGAGATAGACAGTCAAATATGATGGTTCGATGTGATAGATAATGATCATATTTTTCATTTTAATGGGGAAAAAATGAAAAATAAACAGGGGCTAACATTATCACTTATTCCTTGTTTGACAACTAATTTAATGATTTATTATTATTATTATTATTATTGAAGAAAATGAGTTTTGGAATAATTATATTTTGGAGAGTGTGTGATTAAAAATTATGAAAAAATATTTTGTGGTTCACACACGAAATATTTTATTATGAGATGTGTGATTGAAAATATTGGGGACTGCAAATGCAATTTTTTCAAACTGTTTAAAATTTTTTGATTTGAAAATAATTAGAAAACATTGTCCACCCCTAAGAGGAGGTTAGAAAAAGTGAGATGAATTTTAGACGAACACAAATATTGGGGGACTGTAGATGCAATTTTTTCAAACCATTTAAAATTGTTTGATTTGAAAATAATTAGAAAACATCGTCTACCCTTAAGTGGAGGTTAGAAAAAGTGAGATGAATTTAACAAACACAAATATTGGGGGACTATAAATGCAATTTTCTTCAACCGCTTAAAATTGTTTGATTTGAAAATAATTAGAAAACATCGTCTACCCCTAAGCAGAGGTCAGAAAAGTGAGATAAATTTGAGACAAACACAAATATTGGGGACTGTAATTGCAATTTTCTCACACTGAGAGGCTGTGTGTTTTGAGAGAGTGAATGTGTGAGAGAAGAGACCTAACCGCTCAATCACACGCAGAAAACGGAATCGAGAATCGTACCATGGGTCCCACTTCCACTTGTGTTTTACATGGCTCCATCTATTATTATTAAAAATAAAAAATAAATTATTGTTATGTTCACAACACATTTTAATTATATCAAATGTCATTATGACACTTATTTTAAACTTTTTTATTTCAATGTATTCTTGTTTTTAACATTTTATTGATCAAGAAATTTTATCATTTATCATGATATTCATTCAAAAATATTATTAACGTGCTTTCCAATGAAGATCAAATATTTAATCATATTTTTGTATTATTATTTACTTTGCTTGTTTAAGGACAAATGAATCTTTTTACTTTATTTTAAAGAAAATTTTGGAGACAAATCATAATAAGTTAAAAATTTATTTATTTTTTGTTAATTTGAGAATAAGAATGCGATGAAAAATATTTGAGACACAAAATGATAGTGTCTAAATAGTTATGAACCTTTTATGTAATTAAAATGTAATTTAGTTATTGAACCGCTAGTGTAGTGTTAAGCATCGATTTGTGCGACAATTACATGACATTAAATAAAATATTCATTTAAATGTAAAATCATATTATTCATTTAATTGAACATATAATTATAATTGCTTAAATCGATGCTCTAATATAGCTGATGCTAGATGGTAGTATTCAAAATAAAATAAATATTGAAAATATGTAGCGTATTAAATACAATTATTATAACGTAAAAATACCTCAATTTAAAAATAAAATGAAATTAGAATAGAGTCTCTTGCGACTTATCTCTCAGAATTGATTCTTCAAAATAAAAAAAAAATTATATTTAGAGAATTTTTTTGAAAATGATTTCACTACGATTAAATTGAATATAATGTGATAAACTTTTGTATTTTTCGCAAAAATAGTGATATGTATTTTTCGCAAAAATTGCACGTGATTGCATAATCTAAATACTGACTTCAGTCTGATAAATAAGAATAAATTTATTTGTTTCTACAAATATAAATGCATTTTATTATTTTCATTATATAACGTGACAGTAGATCATTGAACAACAAATGAGTAAGCACCACTTACAAATTGGGCAAACAATTGAGAATAAAAATGCAGTTAATTTAAAAAAAAATACATTTAACACATGTATCCATAGATTTAAATTTTTAGCTTCTTATTCCATAATTATATGACCAAAGCCTTGATTTTGTGGGCAATAAAACTGATCGATTTATTTGAAGTTTAAATTTAGATCAGGGTGGTTAACATGAAACAAATGAAATTTGAAGATTGGGTAATATCTTTTGTAAATATAAATATATGTTACATAAAATATATTAAATATGTTAAAAAAAAGAATATGCAAATTTATACAAATTTGATTGGTAACAATGATGGACATAACATAGTTGTGAAATCAAATTTAAATTTATTAAGTTCATGTTTGTATTTCATTCTATCAAAAATCTCTCTCTCTCTCTCTCTATATATATATATATACTTATTTTCAATCGCATATTCACACAATAAAATATTTTACACGTAAATTCAAAATTTTTTAACTCCACATTTACCTAAAATTTACTATTCAAAACAATAATTTTTTTTTCCAAAAAAATAGCCACTAAACGGGGATTAGGGACCCGTTTGTTTCTCACTTTTGAAAGAATGAGAATGAAAAATATAGTCATTACGGGCTCCACACAAGAGA